TAAATACAAACCTAAGTAACATACCACATACTGATGGGAAAAATATAAATATCGCATACCTGAATACAATAATAGTCAATACAAAAAAAGCAGAAGAGAAATATTATACCTAAAAACCGGATCTATAACAATCATACATACACAGTTGGATTTAAAAAATCATAATAGCGATGTTTATGGGAAATAAGAAATTATTTATGGCGCATTAAAACTTCATTAAATTTGCTTTAAAATGATCTTTATTTCATGATGGTATCTCAATTCGTTCTTAAGATACGATGTTTTTAAATATATGTTTCATGTCTATTATAATCAAACATGCAGAGTTGGGTTTATAATATCATAACAACGGTGTTTATGGAAAATAAGAAATTATTTATGACACATTAAATCTTCATTAAATTTGCTTTGAAATGATCTTTGTTTCATAATGATATCTCAATTCGTTCTAGAGATACGATGTTTTTAAATATATATTTCATGTCTATTACAATCAAACATGCAGAGTTGGGTTTACAAAATCATAACAACGGTGTTTATGGAAAACAGGAAATTATTTATGACACATTAAATCTTCATTAAATTTGCTTCAAAATCAAACCAGTACTTGCAGCCATACGTAGTCCTTTTGGATGTGTGTCACATTGAGAATTCTCGGAATATGTGATATATCGCTGAATGAAGGAGATGCGAGCAAGAGTTAGCCTCGTCAGATAACGCTAAGCACTTCGTTGAATATGTTGACGAAGGCGAACTGGATTGCGTTTATGACATTTAGCTGATTCTGCTCTCCACTTTTATGTAAATGGGTTTCAAAGAGAAACAAGTTCAGGTGTTAATGTTTTCTGAGTTACTTAAGATCATGATTTTTAAACTACTTTTAACCTACTTTAAACTACTATTCTCGAGTACGATTACGTTTTTTTAAATTTATATTAATCAAACATGTAGAGTTTTAGTTTAAAAATCATACCAACGATGATTATGGAAAACAAGAAATTATTTATGGCCCATTAAAACTTCATTAAATTTGCTTTAAAATGATCTTTATTTCATGATGATATCTCAATTCGTTCTTGCGATACGATGTTTTTAAATATATGTTTCATGTCTATTACAATCAAACATGCAGAGTTGGGTTTACAAAATCATAACAACGATGTTTATGGAAAACAGGAAATTATTTATGACACATTAAATCTTCATTAAATTTGCTTCAAAATGATCTTTATTTCATGATGATATCATGAAATAAATAGATATCTCAATTCGTTCTTGAGATACGATTTTTTTAAATCTGTATTTCATGTAAGTAAGAATCAAACATGCAGTTTAATTTAAAAAATCATAACAACGATGTTTATGGAAACTAAGAAATTATTTATGGTACATTAAATGTTCTTTATTTCACGATATCTTCATTTTCGTTTTTAAGATACCTTTTTTTACATTTATATTTCATGAATCATAATACAAAGAATAAGGGATGATGCATAAGGCATAACGTCTTGGGTTACTTTGTTTTTATTCTTTTAAAATACTAATTAATAATACACCTATTTCTTTTCAAGGAAGTGTTGCATATTAAAATTCGATTAGTGCGTTTTATTTTAATAAAATTATGTAAGTTTTAGTTGAAATGTTTCAAATAAACCAGTAATTTTTTTATTGAAAGGTTGAGTTTTAAAACCAAAAAACGATTTAAAACCGCTTCGCCCCATCGTCTTTACATTTTTTGTTTGTTCACCTCCACTATTTCTTCTTCACACTGTAAATTAAGGAGGGGATGTTAGGATGTTGGTTGGCTAATAACGCATTTTAGTTGATGTGCGGGCATTTAAGGGTGATAAAGTAGTTGCGAAAATTAAAACTTATTGCGCGAGTTAAGTGATAAATACATGTTATATGTATGTGTGCTAAGTGTTAGGTGATGTTAGTGACATTAGTGATGTTGGGATCATCGGATTGCTATTTTATGGATGTTAAAACGTATCGTATTAATTCTTTTTTTTGTCACAATAAATTAATTTATTTTTTCTTTCCAGCTGAGCTTCGATGTAAAATCCAAGGAAAACAACATCCATCCGGTGAGTCGTTTTCAAATTTATTAATTTCTAATTTTTACCAAAACTAATCTTGGTAATTCGCGATTTGAGCGGTGTAATATTTCTAGATAAAACCCATTTCGAACGGTATTCATTTGATTTTTGCTTAAAATATATGTTTTGGTAAAGTTTCGTGAATAAAATCGAAAAGCTCTATATTTTACCAACTCGTTTTCCATAAGATAAGCTAACTTGTTTCGACATAAAATACTTTCTCGACAAAATGTTATTATTTCCATAATACTTGAAGAACAATTTTTAATTACTAGAATTAGTTAGGCATAAGTTAGTTACAAATAAATTCAGTCTATGTGACACATAATGAAAAAAAAAACATTTAAAGAATTCTGCTCTTTGTCCAATAACGATATTTTGTTAGCCAAACAAAAAAACTGTTAGTTAATTTTGGCTACAAGTTCAAGCATACTTTGCATTATCGGGACATGAGAAAAGCATGATCACCTGCTTATACTCTCTTTTTTGATAAATCTACAACATCCAGTTCTCCTATAAATTGTTCTCCTCCATACTTTTATTCTAATAAGGTTTAAATTTTCTTCCACATCGTCAAGAAATCTGATCATACCGAAAATAGTTCGTAGCACCCTTCTTTCAAAAACTTCGTGTAATCCTTTATCTGCTGCAACAGTCCTTTGATGCAGCTTGATTGCGTCTAAGTACTCTACTCGTATTAAATAAGTCTGACAGTTCAATGCAATCTCTAATCACACACTCGATCCTTTTCAGTGTTAATTGATGCCATTACTGTTATCGACTAAGCTTCTGCAAGTCATTCCATCTTATTAATTGTTGAAACAAATCTCAATAAGGGAATGAAATCTTTCTTATTCCTTAGATTTCGCATTATTCTCTCTATCACATGATTTGGACTAAAATCAAAATAAAATTTGTATGTTATGTTTAAAATTGTGCAAGGTTGCGTTCAAACATTCATAAATCTAAAATTCGAAGATTTGGAGAAGTGATTTTCAACGTGCAAATACTAAATAAATTTGCTTTAAATTTCTTTTCATTGAATAACGATATCTCAATTAGTTTTTGAGATACGTAGAGATTATTTGCCCTAACATTTATGTTTATGATTATGCAAAGTTGCGTTCAAAAATTCATAAATCTAAAATTTGCAGATTTGGAGAAATGAACTTCAATATGTTAAATACTAAGTAAATTTGCTTTAATTTACTTTTTATTTCATAGCGATATCTCAATTAGTTTTTGAGATACGTAAAGATTAATTGCCCTAACATCTATGTTCAAGCTTATGCAAGGTTGCGGTCAAAAATTCATAAATCTGAAATTTGTAGATTTGGAGAAATGATCTTCAACGTGTTAAATACTAAGTAAATTTGCTTTAATTTGCTATTTATTTCATAGCGATATCTCAATTAGTTTTTGTGAAACGTAACGATAAATTTCCCTACCATTTATGTTTAAGATTATGCAAGGTTGCGTTCAAAAATACATAAATCTAATATTGAAGATTTGGAGAAATGAGCTTCAACGTATTAAAAACTAAATAGATTTGCAATAATTTACTTTTTATTTCATAACGATGTCTCAATTAGTTTTTGAGATATATAAAGATTAATTGCCGTAACATTTATGTTTAAGGTTATGCAAGGTTGCGTTCAAAAATTCATAAATCTAAAATTTGCAGATTTGGAGAAATGAACTTCAATATGTCAAATACTAAGTAAATTAGCTTTAATTTGCTTTTTATTTCATAACGATATCTCAATTAGTTTTTGAGATACGTAAATATTAATTGCCGTAACATTTATGTTTAAGATTACGCAAGGTTACGTTCAGAAATTCATAAATCTAGAATTTGAAGATTTGGAGAAATGATCTTCATCGTGTTAAATAGTAAACAAATTTGCTTTAAATTGCTTTTCATTGAATAACGATATCTCAATTAGTTTTTGAGATACGTAAAGATTAATTGCCCTAACATCTATGTTCAAGCTTATGCAAGGTTGCGGTCAAAAATTCATAAATCTGAAATTTGAAGATTTGGAGAAATGATCTTCAACGTGTTAAGTACTGAGTAAATTTGCTTTAATTTGCTATTTATTTCACAACGATGTCTCAATTAGTTTTTGAGATACATAAAGATTATTTGCCCTAACATTTATGTTTAAGATTATGCGAGGTAGCATTCAAAAAATCATAAATCTAACATTTGAAGATTTGGGGAAACGAGCTTCAACATGTTAAATACTAAGTAAATTCGCTTTAATTTGCTATTTATTTCATAACGATGTCTTAATTAGTTTTTGAGATACGTAAAGATTAATTGCAGTAACATTTATGTTTAAGATTATGCAAAGTTGCGTTCAAAAATTCATAAATCTAAAAATTGAAGATTTGAAGAAGTGATCTTCTACATGTTAAATAGTAAATAAATTTGCTTTAATTTGCTTTTTAATTCATAACGATATCTTAATTAGTTTTTGAGATACGTAAAGATTAATTGCCGTAACATTTATGTTTAAGATTATGTAAGGTTGTGTTCAGAAATTCATAAATCTAAAATTTGAAGAGTTGTAGAAATGAGCTTCAACATGTTAAACACTAAGTAAATTTGCTTTAATTTGTTTGTTAGTTCATAACGATATCTCAAATAGTTTTTGAGATACGTAAAGATTAATTACCCTAACGGTTATTTTTAAGATTACGCAAGGATACGTTCAGAAATTTATAAATCTAAAATTTGAAGATTTAAATTTGCATTAATTTGTAAATTGTAAAATTTGCCTAATTTGAGTAAGTCTTTGCCTTTAAATTAGTACAACAACCATGTCTCTATCGCGAAAAATGCACCTTAAGCGATTTTTTAAAATCAAAATTTTACTATAAGTGATAAGTTTCGAAGATTTTTTGATATTTTTATGTGAACATATTACATGAATGTAATTAATAATCAACATAAAAATAATATTTAGTCCCTTAGTCTTCTTCGTGATTCAGGTCGAATAAGTCTAGCGCGTAAATTTTTGAGTCCTGTGATGCAACATCCATATTTGATTATATTAACAACTAATTCAGCATCTCTTCGATATTTATATACAACATCCACATCGTATTGATCGTCATGTACATTACATTTCTTTACACATATGACAACGCCATATCGCTCAAAAATTTGACGGATTTCACTTTTAGTCATTTTTTCGTTAAAGTCCTCTATTCTTACGGTCCAAGGAAGACGTACGCGCTTTCTTCCTGTGTTAGATTTTTGTTCCGGCGTTGGTGTTCGACTTTCCGATCCTGTACTCGATCTTCGAGATCTACGATTCTGCTTTAAGGTGGATTTACAATTCGACATAGACGAGGAGCTTGATCTTGTTGATCGTATGTCTGATCTTGATCTCGTTCTGCTCGAAGATTTCGACCAGGACTCCCGTTCACTCCCGTCGCTTGAAGAGGGGGTTCTGGATGAAGAACTTCGAGATTTATTAGAACTGCGGGTAACAGTGGGTTTAATCCAATCCCACATTGGCGCCATCGTGTAAGTCGTCGCTGTTAGTACAAAAACATTGAAAAAGTTTGGAAATATATCTAAATAAGGATTATAAGTTTTTACCAACGCAAAGTTCCCAAATACATCTAAGCGAAAACACAAAATAAAATCGTACAAACACAAAAATAAGTGTATATCGTAACCTTGGTTTTGAAATGATTTTGTATAACAAATCTACGTGCATACATTTTTTCTTTTCTGACGACGTAATTTGTTATTAACAAGATATTCAGAAATGAATTAGAGAATGTCGCAATTTGTTGCAAAAAGATACATAAAAGATATTGATTTTCATAGTTGAAAATGAAGATTTGTTTTTAATTTTGTTTGAAATAAACACACGACTTAAATTATAATTTATTTCATATTATAATTCATAATTAATATTGAGATGAGATGCTAAATCAAGGATGTCGTGATAAAACTGTTGCGCAAGATTAATTATTGTAACAAATTCTGGAATAACAAGTAAAATTTTTGAACTAATTAAAATTTTTTGTTCAAATTAAGTTCATTTAAGCCCATCATCATATTATGTTACCATGTTTGCAATTGCAGCCCAGAAGTTGCTGTAATATCCAATGGACATGTTACCATACTCTAACTTGTTTTCTGAAATCTTTGCTAAAGAACATGAAGATGTTCCAAACCGACTTGAATATTTTGACATAAATATTCATAAAAAGGAAATTACAACTGTTTTGAATGATACTAATCCAATAGTATATTTCATAATCTAAAATCTTTGCATTTTCTTCAGAGAATCTTTACAACTGCATATTTCTATCATCTTCAATCATTCTCTCTACCTCTCTTTTTATTCTAACCTCATCCCTTCTTTCCACTCTCCTCCTATCCAAACAACCAGACAACCCAATCCGGTTTAAATACATGTTGAAGGAAGTATGCTAAAAGTTGCATACCCTTGCTGGACTCTCCTGGATCGAACACCTCCCTCATCCTTCCCAATCATTAATTAATGGCGCAAATAACGAGGATTTGCCTAAGTCTTGTGGATTTCCTCTGTTGGCTACATAACTAACTCAATACATTGTGTTCAGAAAATTCTCTATCGCAGTCAATAAATAACTCGGCTATTTAAAGCACATCGAGAAGTTTACTTGCGCATTCGGTACAATGCCTGGGCTATACCTTGGTCAATCCTAAACCCAAACTCTCCTTCATCCAGCTTACCATTCTATTCCATACATACCAATAACCTGTCCGCTATCAATGCGCATATTAGCCAAACTCGCCCATTCGGCTTCTCTTTTTCACATCTCCAGAAATGCTCTTGTGAGATTCACAACTATAACATTGAGACCAGACGCAGCTTCTTTAAGTCCACCTTGTAATTCCTTGCACCACCAGCTTACCTTCATATTTTTCATCCTATCGTTCCCTTCTTTGGTCTCAAAACTTGCTAGTATTAATAGATTACATTACCGTAGCATGCCAGTAAGGTAGTTATGTAATGAGCAATGCCCGGGATACACGAGGCTAGTTTTGTAAGCTAGGATAGCAAGCTAGTGCTAGTAAGCTAGCAAGCTAGTGCATCTATCTTCGTGTATACAAAACTAGCTTTATTCCAGGCTAGTAAGCTAGTGTCTGAAGCCAGGATAGTTTAATAGCTTGCCGTTCTATTTTTAAAGCTAGTAAGCTTCCCCCACCACTGATTTTGCTGTGCTGGCTTCGGTTTAGCTTCGTGTGGCCGGGGAAGCTAGTATCCGTTCGGCTACAGTGCCGCAGTGTCCACGCGGTTTTGTTTGTCTGACTGCAACTACGTATGTTTCTGCAACGAGATGCCGAAACTAAGTAACGAAATAAATTTAAAGTTTGTACAATTGTACCGTGAGAAGGAATGTCTATGGAACGCTACCATTCCGTCTTATAAAGACAAATCTATGCGAGATTCAGCACTACAAAAAATGTGTGGCGAATTATTGACAATGGGTATACAAATGAATACCAAAGAAGTAAAAAATAAAATAAAAAATTTAAGAGCAACTTATTGTCAAGAACTGTCAAAAATTGATAAATCAACCAGGTCTGGAGCTGGTTCTCAAGAGGAATATACGTCAAAGTTAAATTGGTTCAAGGAAATGCACAGTTTCATTAAAAATGTACCAATGAAAAGAAAAACAACGGTAAGTGAATTGTTTTCATTCATTATTTATTTATTAAGTATTACTTATTATCTATTTATTATACCTACAGCACAGAATAAAGTAGTATGTAGTACAAGCGTACAGAAGAATCACTCTTGAACAATACTTCAGTTTAGGTATAAAAATTAATGATTATCTTATCATTCTTGATTGCCAAGGCACAGCACCTTTATTGTTAAAGTAGTTTTTAAAGGTTTCTCTTTTCTGGATTGCTGAAATCGAAGAATGGTTACTTCCTTGGTGACATATGCTTTGTAAACCTTCTGTATCTGTTCTCCATGAGCCAAGAGGGGAGTTTCCTGTTTCAATATCTTCATGGTCGACATCACTGCTGGTTAGATAAGTGTTTCGATTTTCTTTTCTCAACCAATTATGCAAAGCACATGCTGCTAATACAATTTTATCCACTGTATCTACATTAGCTGCTATTGGTTTTTGAAATACACGAAATCGGCTTGCCAATATCCCAAAGGCATTTTCCACTACACGTCTGGCTCTGGATAGTCGGTAATTGAAAACTTTCTGTGGCAATGTTAAGTTGTCGCCTGGATAAGGTTTTAAAATGTATGATTTTAAAGGAAATGCGGCATCAGTGACAATCACTCCACCATTTGGTAAAAGATTATTCTCCAGTTTATTATATATGGAACAATTTTTAAATACACCTCCATCTGATGACATTCCACAGGCTCCGACATCTATATATCGAAAACAATAGTCGTAATCAACTATTGCCATAAGAACTATACTGAATACTTTTTTATAATTGAAATATATAGTTCCACTATTACCAGGAGCTAAAATTTGAATATGCTTTCCATCAATGGCACCGTAGCAAAATGGGAAATTCCATCTGTTTCTAAATCCATTTTCTATTTCCGCCCATTCTTCGAAATTAGTAGGGATCTGTAAAAATATACTGTTTATAATTAGTAAAATGATTGTTTTTTTTTTCAGGACAGTGAAGAGTCAGCAGTGGATGAAGAACGAACCAATACTGAAAATCTGAATATCGATAATATTAACAATGATGACAATGATGCAATGTCAGAAAATGTTTCACAATCTACGTCTACATCAAATAATATAACGCAACGCAACAAGTCCGCGGAAATAACTACGAAAACAACAGTACCAGCTGCTGCAAAACCATCTACATCTAAATCACAGTTCAAAGTGCCAGAGACACCAGCCCCAAAAAAGAAAAAAATTGCGCAAGTGGCAACATTGGTCAACGAAATTAGGTCGCTCACGAATGATTTAAATAGAGATCATACTATAATACCACAACAAAATGAATACGATATTTTTGGAGCATTTGTAGCTTGCCAACTTAAAATGTTCTCATCTATTCAGGCTATTACTGCTCGGGATGAAATCAATGCTACATTATCTCGTTGTCGAAAGACGGATTTAAATTATAGTAATACAACATTTTCATACCAGACACCGAGTCACGAGTCTTCAGACACGACATTCAGTATTGACTATGAAGATTCAACGAACGTTTTCGATGTGATTACCACAGCATTCAAAAATGCATAATGTTGTGGAGGTGGAAAAACATCACATTCTTTGTTATTATTCCCAAATGTATTTTTAATAAATAAAAAATAATACAAACCTTAATGTTTTCTTCCAATACCTTGTAGATTTCGACACATACTTCTGGTATAAATTTGCCTATAGCACATCTTGAAACCCGATAAAAGTGACTAAGCCTCCTGTAACTAATACCGGACGAAAGAAAATCTAAAGTGATCTCCAATTTTATTCTTGCAGGTAACGCCTGTCTCATTATTGTATCCATTCCTTGTATTTTTGGCGTCACAAGACTCAACAGAATATCAAACATATCGGGCGTCATTCGCAAAATACTCTTGTACTCGCCTATATCGTTATTGCAAAGTTCTTTTAAAAGTAAAGCAGATGATCCACGTTCATTCCTTCTTAAAAGCCATGGTCTTGTCCATACACGTTTTTCTAATACATCTTCTAGTAATTCGTCTAATGCAAATTGACATAGTTTCCGAAGTAACTGTTTCAGTCGTATTGTGTTTTTCTTACGAATGCAGTTCATTTTACTTCACGGACGTTTTGTACCGTCAACCGTCTGCAATGGTACTGGCTTGGCTGGGTTAAAATTACTGGCATCATGTAAACAGCACTAGCATCTTCCAAGCGAGGACAGCAAGCCAGGACAGTTATCTAGCTTACCTAGCTTGCTATCCTAGCTTACAAAACTAGCCTCGTGTATCCCGGGCATAAGTCCCGTTAAAGTTGGACGCGGTCAGATTAAGGTTATGTATGGCGTTATACTTATGTTAATATAGGTGATTGTAACTAGAATAAGTAAATAAACACTAAGAATATATAATCTTAAACATACATGTTACGCAATTAATCTTTACGTATCTCAAAAACTAATTGAGATATCGTTATGAAATAAAAAGCATTTCTACAAATCTTCAAATTTTAGATTTATGAATTTTTGAACCCAACCTTGCATAACCTTAAACATAAACGTTAGGGCAATTAATCTCTACTATCTCAAAAACTAATGGAGATATCGTTATGATATAACAAGCAAATTGATGCAAATTTACTTAGTATTTAACATGCTGAAGATCATTTCTCCAAATCTTCAAATTTTAGATTTATAAATTTCTGAACGTATCCTTGCGTAATCTTAAAAATAACCGTTAGGGTTATTAATAAGGAGCATAAAAAAAGGTTAAAAATTGTTCTAGAAAAAAAATCTTTTGAAAAAGCTAGTTTAGCTTAATACTTAAATTTTAATTAAAACCGTTAGATTTTAATTAGTTACCAAAGATTTAATGATAGAGGTGGATTTATGATTATTATACAAAATTAAACATAAAATTTCGCTCTTTCAGAAGATATATACATTGTGTTAATTAATTATCGTACCCGACGTCATTATTGCAAGTATGCAACCAATATCACAGTATTTGTATAGCAATATGGAATTTGTGTATTCAGATATATTCATTGTGATATTGGTTGTATACTTGCAATGATGACGTCGAGTACGATAATTAATTAACACACTGTACAGGATGGTCCATTTTACGTGAGTTACGACTAATTTTTTAAATGGCACCCTATGTTTTTGATTGCAAAATCTGAATCCATGGATAAAAGTAAAATTAAAAAAAAAATTACCGTGTGGTTTTGCTAATACGACGGCGAAACATCTTGTGTAGACAAAATCTAAATAATTTTTTTATTCAAATAGTTTTAAATATTTATTTATATATTATTATGATTAAACTATACTAAATTCCTGGACAAAATTAACGAATCATCCTAGAAGAATCATCCTGAAGAAGAAACAATAAAAGTTTCGAAATATTGATGTTTTAAAAATTTAGTCCTTTCTTTTGTTGACCTTAAACCTGAAGTTAAAGAAAAACTGAGGTCGCTCACATTTCGTTTTTACTTTTACTATCATCTGTTAGCAAATGGATACACCTAGTGTATGTACGCATTCACTAGTAAATGTATACACTCTATGATCAGAAAATACTTTCACTAAAACATTATGTTAATGTATACATTGACTAGCTAATGTATACATTAACTGAAATGCACGTTTTACCTGTAACATATTCAATGAGAGTTGTAAAAATTTTAAGACAAATTCTTAGCTCTCTCTTGATATCATCATGATGATATCTCAATTAGATTTTGAGATGTGCAAAGATTAAATACCTTTACCCTAACTTTAATGTTTATGCTTACGCAAGGTTGAATTCAAAACATCATAAGTCTGAAATTTTAAGGTTTGAAAAAGTCACCTTCAAAGTATTAAATCCTAAGTAAATTTACTTTAAATTGCTTTTTATTTCATTATGATATCTCAATTTGTTGTTGAGATATGATCTATTTAAATAACTGTTCTTAAAGTTTGGTGTTTGTAATAGTCATACATGCGGACTTGGGTTCAAAAAACAATAACAACGATGATTATGGAAAATAAGAAATTATTTATGGCATAATAAATTTTCATCAAATTTGTTTTAAAATGTTTTTTATTTCATGATGATATCTCAATTCGTTCTTGATTTACGATTCTTTAAAATTTACATCTCATATTGATAATAATCAAACATGCAGAGTTGGGTTTAAAAATCGTAACAACGACGATTATGGAAAATAATAAATTATTTATAGCACAATAAATCTTCATTAAATTTGCTTTAAAATGTTCTCTATTTCATGATGATATCTCAATTCATTCTTGAGATACGATTCTTTAAAATTTACATTTCATAGTAATAATAATCAAACATGCAGAGTTGGGTTCAAAAAACCATAACAACGATGTTTATGAAAAATAAGAAATTATTTATGGCACATTAAATCTTCATTAAATTTGCTTCAGAATGATCTTTGTTTCAATTTGTTCTTCATTTACGATTATTTTAAATTTATATTTCACATCTATAACAATCTACCGTGCAGAGTTGGGTTTAAAAAATCGTAACAACGATGATTATGGAAAGTAATAAATTATTTATGGCACAATAAATTTTCATTAAATTTGCTTTAAAATGTTCTTTATTTCATGATGATATCTCAATTCATTCTTGAGATACGATTCTTTAAAATTTACATTTCATATTAATAATAATTAAACATGCAGAGTTGTGTTCAAAAAACCATAACAACGATGTTTATGAAAAATAAGAAATTATTTATGGCACATTAAATCTTCAATAAATTTGCTTTAAAATGTTGTTAATTTCATGATGATATCTCAATTCATTCTTGAGATACGATTCTTTAAAATTTACATTTCATATTAATAATAATTAAACATGCAGATTTGGGTTCAAAAAATCATAACAACGATGATTATGGAAAACAAGAAATTATTTATGGCACAATAAATCTTCAAGGAATTTGCTTTAATATGATCTTTGTTTCATAATAATATCTCAATTCGTTTTTGAGATACGATTATTTAAAATGTACATGTCATATTAATAATAATCAAACCTACAGAGTTGGGTTCAAAATATCATAACAACGATGATTATGGAAAAAAAGAAATTATTTATGGCACATTAAATCTTCATCAAATTTGCTTTAAAATGTTATTTGCTTCATGGTGATATCTCAATTCGTTCTTGAGATACGACTTTTCTAAACTTTAAATTTCATGTTAATAATACTCAAACATGCAGAGTTGGGTTAGAAAAACCATAACAACGATGTTTATGGAAAATAAGAAATTATTTACTGCATATTAAATCTTTATTAAATTAGCTTTAAAATGATCTTTGTTTCATGATGATATCTCAATTCGTTCTTGAGATACGATTTTTTAAAAATTTATGTTTCATGTCTATTACAATCAAACATGCAGAGTTGGGTTTAAAAAGTCATAACATTGATGATTATGGAAAATAATAAGTTATTTATGGCACAATAAATCTTCATTCAATTTGCTTTAAAATGTTCTCTATTTCATGATGATATCTCAATTCATTCTTGAGATACAATTCTTTAAAACTTACATTTCATATTAATAATAATTAAACATGCAGAGTTGGTTTCAAAAAACCATAACAACGATGTTTATGAAAAATAAGAAATTATTTATGGCATATTAAATCTTCATTAAATTTGCTTCAAAATGTTCTTAATTTCATGATGATATCTTAATTCATTCTTGAGATACGATTCTTTAACATTTACATTTCATATTAATAATAATCAAACATGCAGAGTTGGGTTCAAAAAACCATAACAACGATGTTTATGAAAAATAAGAAATTATTTATGGCGCATTAAATCTTCATTAAATTTGCTTTAAAATGTTCTTCATTTCATGATGATATCTCAATTCATTCTTGAGATACGATTCTTTAAAATTTACATTTCATATTAATAATAATCAAACATGCAGATTTGGGTTCAAAAAATCATAATAACGATGATTATGGAAAACAAGAAATTATTTATGGCACAATAAATCTTCAATAAATTTGCTTTAATATAATCTTTGTTTCATAATAATATCTCAATTCGTTTTTGAGATACGATTCTTTAAAATGTACATGTCTATTAATAATAATCAAACCTGCAGAGTTGGCTTCAAAAAATCATAACAACGATGTTTATGAAAAATAAGAAATTATTTATTGCACATTCAATCTTCATTAAATTTGCTTTAAAATGATCTTTGTTTCATAATGACATCTCAATTCGTTCTTGATTTACGATTCTTTAAAATTTACATTTCATATTAATAATAATCAAACCTACAAAGTTGGGTTCAAAAAATCATAACAACGATGTTTATGGAAAATAAGAAATTATTTATGGCATATTAAATCTTCATTAAATTTGCTTTAAAATGTTCTTAATTTCATGATACTTTAAAATTTATATTTCATATTAATAATAATCAAACATGCAGATTTGGATTCAAAAAATCATAACAACGATGATTATGGAAAACAAAAAATTATTTATGGCAGAATAAATCTTTAATAAATTTGCTTTAATATGATCTTTGTTTCATAATAATATCTCAATTCGTTTTTGAGATACGATTCTTTAAAATGTACATGTCATATTAATAATAATCAANTAAATACCTTTACCCTAACTTTAATGTTTATGCTTACGCAAGGTTGAATTCAAAACATTAATTTTAAGGTTTGAAAAAGTCACCTTCAAAGCATTAAATCCTAAGTAAATTTACTTTAAATTGCCTTTTATTTCATTTTTTATCTCAATTTGTTGTTGAGATATGATCTATTTAAATAACTGTTCTTAAAGTTTGGTGTTTGTAATAGTCATACATGCGGAATTGGGTTGAAAAAATCATAGCAATGATGTTTATGAAAAATAAAAAATTATTTATAGCACATTAAATCTTCATTAAATTTGCTTCAAAATGATCTTTGTTTCATGATGATATCTCAATTCGCTCTTTATTTACGATTATTTTAAATTTATATTTCACATCTATAACAATCAACCATGCAGAGTTGGGTTTAAAAAGTCATAACATTGATGATTATGGAAAATAAGAAATTATTTATGACACATGAAATCTTCATTAAATTTGCTTTAAAATGTTCTTAATTTCATGATGATATCTCAATTCATTCTTGAGATACGATTCTTTAAAATCTACATTTCATATTAATAATAATTAAACATGCAGAGTTGGGTTCAAAAAACTATAACAACGATGTTTATGAAAAATAAGAAATTATTTATGGCAGAATAAATCTTCATTAAATTTGCTTTAAAATGTTCTTAATTTCATGATGATATCTCAATTCATTCTTGAGATACGATTCTTTAAAATTTACATTTCATATTAATAATAATCAAACATGTAGATTTGGGTTCAAAAAATCATAACAACGATGTTTATGAAAAATAAGAAATTATTTATGGCACAATAAATCTTCAAGGAATTTGCTTTAATATGATCTTTGTTTCATAATAATATCTCAATTCGTTTTTGAGATACGATTCTTTAAAATGTACATGTCATATTAATAATAATCAAACCTACAGAGTTGGGTTCAAAAAATCATAACAACGATGATTATGGAAAATAAGAAATTATTTATGGCACATTAAATCTTCATCAAATTTGCTTTAAAATGTTATTTGTTTCATGGTGATATCTCAATTCGTTCATGAGATACGACTTTTCTAAAATTTACATTTCATGTTAATAATAAAACATGCAGATTTGGGTTCAAAAAATCATAACAACGATGTTTATGAAAAATAAGAAATTATTTATGGCACAATAAATCTTCATTAAATTTGCTTTAAAATGTTCTTAATTTCATGATGATATCTCAATTCGTTCTTGAGATACAATTGTTTAAAGTTTATATTTCATATCTGTAACAATCAAACATTCCAAGTTGGGTTTAAAAAATCGTAACAATGATGTTTCTGGAAATTAAGAAATCATTGATAAGACTTTTTAGATGTTTAAGCGGTGATTTACAAGATTCATCTCCTTAAATCAATACTGCCATCCTGTTTACTTGTATAAATAATCTTTAAGCGTCACGAAGAGTTGGAAATTCCAGTTTAAAGATCTTGGTGCAACCAACGAGATCGAGGTTATTCACGTCAGGGTTTCCCCATTTCGCAGTATATAAAAGCATAGTGTTTGGTGTAGTATAAGATGTTATAGATAATCTTGGGAAATTTTTAAAAGTGACGATACAGATAACGAATTGTGTTGTTTGTATAAAAGTAAAAACGACGTTTATTTATTTAGTTCTCTAAGAAATTTTATTCGCGATTATTGAATGGTTTAAATAGTTTTTGTGATAAGATTCGTGTTAACAGGAAATTTATTAACCACTATATCCTTTGTGACTTTATGTGACGCCGTTGTCGTGATTTTAAGAGGAAATTAATGAAAATTCGTGAAATTAAATAAATAATATGGGAAAGAACTTTTTTTGTTGTGGATTAATTCTGACGTTTTTGGTAAATATTGAAGTTTTTTTATTGTGAGGTAAATTTTTATGAATAATGTAGGTTATGGAAATTTGGGGTACAGCTCATAATTGTTATTATGGATTTTGTAAAGATTCTCCTAATTACCCTTATGAAAAAATTCAAGAGGTTTTAAAAGAAGACAGTAAATATCACGTGTTTTTTAATTGGAACCATGGAAGAGATCTTGGAAATATTAAAACAAAACGGAACATATCACCATCGTTATTAATACGGAAGATTTTAAGCAACACCTCGAATATGTGAGATGTTAGTTTTATTTTATTATTATTCTTAGAATGTTGTGGTTATTATTACTTATATTTTTAGAGAACTTGATTTTTAAAAGTAAGAAACTCGCGTTTTTGAAGAGAAGATCCAAATTGAAGAACTGTTTCACCAAAAATATGTGAGATTGTAAATAATTTGATGAGTAAAAAAATGTATGAATTTTATAACATAAAATTAATTTGTTATAACTATTTATTTATGTATATATTTAAAGGAAATAAACGTTAACTTTAAAGTCGCTTTAACATGTTTGTAACAGAACAATCCCTAGAGATGGAGAAACCTAGCTATGAAGAATGTTAAATCATCTTCATTTGAGGCGATTTTTTGAATATTTGTTCTTAAAGTTAGAATAAGCAAATGTGCAGAGTTAGATTTAAAAAATCATAACAACGATGTTTATGGAAAATAAGAAATTATGTATGGCGCATTAAATCTTCATTAAAATTGCGTTAAAATGGTCGTTGTTTCATGATGATATCTCAATTCGTTCTTGAGATACGATTTCTTAAATTTATATTAAACATGCAGAGTTGGGTTTAAAAAATCAAAACAACGATGTTTATGGAAAATAAGAAATTATATATGGCACATTACATCTTCATAAAATTTGCTTTAAAATGTACTTTATTTCATAATGATATCTCAATTCGTTTTTGAGATACGATTTTTTTTAAATTTATGTTTCATGTCTGTAATAATCAAACATGCAGAGTTGGGTTTAAAAAATCATAAAAACGATGTTTATGGAAAATAAGAAATTCTTTATGGCACATTACATCGTCATTAAATTAGCTTTAAAATCATCTTTGTTTCATGATGATATCTCAATTCGTTCTTGAGATACGATTTTTTTAAAATTTACATTTCATGTTAATACTAATGAAACATGCAGAGTTGGGTTAGAAAAATCATAACAACGATGATTATGGAAAATAAGAAATTATTTATGGCACATTAAATCTTCGTTAAATTTGCTTTAAAATGATCTTTGTTTCATAATGATATCTCTATTCGTTCTTGAGATACGATTTCTTAAATTTATATTAATCAAACATGCAGAGTTGGGTTTAAAAAATCATAACAATGATGTTTATGGAAAATAAGAAATTATTTATAGCACATTAAATTTTCATTCAATTTGCTTTAAAATGTACTTTATTTCATAATGATATCTCAATTCGTTTTTGAGATACGATTCTTTAAGATTTACATTTCATATTAATAATAATCAAACATGCAGACTTGGGTTCAAAAAATCATAACAACGATGTTTATGGAAAATAAGAAATTATTTACGGCACATTAAATCATCATTAAAATTGCTTTAAAATGATCTTTGTTTCATGATGATATCTCAATTCGTTCTTGAGATACGATTTTTTAAAGTTTATGTTTCATGTCTATTACAATCAAACATGCAGAGTTGGGTTTAAAAAATCATAACAACGATGATTATGAAAAATAAGAAATTATTTATGGCACATTACATCGTCATTAAATTAGCTTTAAAATGGTCTTTGTTTCATGATGATATCTCAATTCGTTCTTGAGATACGATTTATTTTAAATTTATGTTTCACGTCTATTACAATCAAACATACAGAGTTGGGTTTAAAAAATCATAACAACGATGATTATAGAAAATAAGAAATTATTTATGGCACATTAAAACTTCGTTAAGTTTGCTTTAAAATGATCTTTGTTCCATAATGATATTTCAATTCATTTTTGAGATACGATTCTTTAAAATTTACATTTCATATTAACAATAATCAAACGTGCAGAGTTGGGTTCAAAAAATCATAACAACGATATTTATGGAAAATAAGAAATTCTTTATGGCACGTTACATCGTCATTAAATTAGCTTTAAAATGATCTTTGTTTCATGATGATATCTCAATTCATTCTTGAGATACGATTTTTTAAATTTATATTAATCAAACATGTAGAATTTTAGTTAAAAAATCATACCAACGATGATTATTTAAAACAAGAAATTATTTATGGCCCATTAAATCTTCATTAAATTTGCTTTGAAATGATCTTTATTTCATGATGATATCTCAATTCGTTCTTGAGATACGATTTTTAAAAAATTAATGTTTCATGTCTTTTACAATCAAACGTGCAAAGTTGAATTTAAAAAAATCATAAAAACTCTGTTTATGAATAATAAGAAATTGTTTATGGCACATTAAATCTTCATTAAATTAGCTTTAAAATGATCTTTGTTTCATGATGATATCTCAATTCGTTCTTGAGATACGATTTTTTTAATATTTATGTTTCGCGTCTATTACAATCAAACATGCAGAGTTGGGTTTAAAAAATCATAACAACGATGTTTATGAAAAATAAGAAATTATTTATGGCACATTACATCGTCATTAAATTAGCTTTAAAATGATCTTTGTTTCATGATGATATCTCAATTCGTTCTTGAGATACGATTTTTTAAATTTACATTAATCAAACATGTAGAGTTTTAGTTAAAAAATCATACCAACGATGATTATGGAGAACAAGAAATTATTTATGGCCCATTAAAACTTCATTAAATTTGCTTTAAAATGATCTTTATTTCATGATGATATCTCAATTCGTTCTTGAGATACGATTTTTTTAAATTTATGTTTCATGTTTATTACAATCAAATGTGCTGAGTTGGGTTTAAAAGATCATAACAACGATGATTATGGAAAATAGGAAATTATTTATAGCACATTAAATTTGCTTTAAAAGGTTCTTTATTTCATGATGATATCTCAATTCGTTTTTGAGATACGATTCTTTAAGATTAACATTTCAAGTTAATAATAATCAAACATGCAGAGTTTGGTTCAAAAAATCATAGCAACGATGTTTATGGGAAATAAGAAATTATTTATGGCACATTACATCTTCATTAAATTAGCTTTAAAATGATCTTTGTTTCATGATGATATCTCAATTCGTTCTTGAGATACGATTTTTTTTACGTTTATGTTTCTTGTCTATAATAATCAAACATGCAGAGTTGGGTTTAAAAAATCATAGCAACGATGTTTATGGAAAATAAGAAATTATTTATGGCACATTACATCTTCATTAAATTAGCTTTAAAATGATCTTCGTTTCATGATGATATCTCAATTCGTTCTTGAGATACGATTTTTTTTACATTTATGTTTCATGTCTATAATAATCAAACATGCAGAGTTGGGTTTAAAAAATCATAAAAACGATGTTTATAGAAAATAAGAAATTATTTATAGCACATTAAATCTTCATTAAATTTGCTTTAAAATGTTCTTTATTTCATGATGATATCTCAATTCGTTTTTGAGATACGATTCTTTAAGATTTACATTTCAAGTTAATAATAATCAAACATGCAGAGTTGGGTTCAAAAAACCATAACAACGATGTTTATGGAAAATAAGAAATTATTTATAGCACATTAAATCTTTATTAACCCTTTGTGTCCCAAGAAGTCAAACATTTTGAAACTTTGTGACAGAATCAAACAGAATTAAAACGCTATCAAAATACACTCAGTAAAGGCCTTTGGAATAAAATTTTAGCAAAATATGCAATCCCCCTATTTTCGCATAGTCTAAATGTAAAAAAAGATGCTAATTAAAAAATTTTTGGAAACCGTGTTTATTGAAATTAAGAAATAAAACTTATTTTAAATTCAAGCTTGAAGCTTTCTGTTTAAATCGATGTATAACAATCGATGGGTTGAATTAAAAAAATATTGAGAAAAAGAGTATTGAGTTAAAACTAACATTTTCGTATAATCTAAAAGTGTCAAAAAAGATGCTAATTTAAAAATTCCTGGAAGCCGTATTTATTGAAATTAAGGAATGAGACTTATTTTAAATTAAAGCTCAAAGCTTTCTCTTTAAAA